ACAGGTCAGAAGGCCTCCCGTGTCAGGGAGGGGAACAATGTGATATGATATATCCTTCCAATGGCCTCCGGATCGACCAGGAGATCCCGCCCCGTGTCGCTAGAATGGCAGCTAGAAGACGCTTTGCGATGGGACGGCGTGGCCCTTCAGCTTTTGACCGGAACCGGTAATGTGCCCTTGGTGTTCTACTCAAGGGGCACCTCGCCCAGAAGGAAACGAAGGGCCTCATTATTAAGGAGAGTGGAGGTCTCATTATTGTTGAATAGAGTAGGTCTAAATTAATTTAAAAAGCGAAAAAAGTCATCCCATAGTTGCCTAAAGACGTTCATTTCTTTCAGAATGTATTAGTGAAAAAAGTCATGAAATTTTTTGAACATGTCCGCCTGCAACCTCGAGAGCAGGGGCAGCGATGGTCTGGGTTGCAGCTTCCGTAAAACCGAACGGCGTCGGCCACTACAAGTGCCACCAGACGGCGGACGCCATGTTCATCTGTCTCCTGGATAAATTAATAGTTACAGAAACACGAAAAATAGAGAATCTACCTTTACTCTTCCAGTTCCACCACCAAATTCCAGCACCACTTCGCGATGCTTTAAGGGCTAATTCGTTCTTATCATTAGTCTTAAAATCGCACACGTGAAATATGCGCCCAGACTGCCTTGTAGATGCAAGATTTAATGTCCTGAAGCCTTCAAAAGCGCTTCTTTCAGAAGCGTCATCACTTTCGTTCATCCGTTGGCCACGGCTCAGTATTAGCTGTTGAGCCGACGCTTCGCGGCCTACGGAGATTCAAAGCCTGGCGTCGAGGGTTTTTAAACTAAGATTTGCGAGTGCGCATGCTTAAAATTATGCCACATAACTTTTCTTGCTAACCGATTCAAATGTTTAAAGGTTACTATTTCAGAACCGTTGTCATCTTCGTTCATCGGTGGACCAAGACAAAAAAGAAAAAGACCAAGACGCACAATACGACAGGTGCCTTCGCAATAAATGGAAGTGGCATCTAGACAACTAGTTGCAGGCGGTCTTTCAGCATTTCTGTAATTATCCTGCTGTTAAAGCTGTCTGCAACTGGATCCATGTCACAGTCGTCATCGTAATGTAAGCACTCCTCCACATCGTTGCGGAGAAAACCATCGCCCGTGTAACCTCCGGCTTTATCGAGCGCCACACACGTGCACTGGTGATCAGGTGTCTCTCGTCTCATGGGCAACACAGCACTTGCCAGCAGCATCTGCGCCCATTTCAACTGAAGGCTGTCGAACTGAAAAGTTTTTTCATACACGCAAGGAAGGCCTTGCGCTGTTTTTTTGAAACTGTGTGTCGAGAGGGCTTATGCTGCAAAAAAATGCCGTCAATTTACCAGGAAGTACTGGTTAAACGACAATATCAAGCAGGCATTAGACATTCCGAGATAAAGAGCAATGCTTGTTTAAGAGCGTCACCAGTTCTTGCCTGTACAAAGAATGTCGTTTTTTCATCGCAAAAACTCCAACTCGAAATACCGAAACGTAGGAGTTCTCTCACCAGAGACATACGCCGTCCAACAAACGATAAAATAGACCAGCTGTCTGCTTTCACAGCGATGAGCACGAGCGCCACGCAAGTGGTTCTAAGATTAATTAGTACGGAAAATATTGTCGTTGAGAGGGCATGTATTGCCAGAACTGCACATTGCTTCAAATCATGATTCTGATTTTGATAATAGTGATCACCGCGCGGGAAGAGCGACCACTTTTAAGTGCCGTTTGACATTTCGTTAGACGTATGCTGACACTACTTTCTTCCGTGTCACAACCATACTTTAACCTATTTTGTTGCTGACAGTGCCTCAAATTGGGGCCTGAAACCCTTTGCCAGTTGCGGTAGCGTGCTTAACTTTACATGTCAAGCAAGCTATCACATTTAAGGCTGGTCGTTTACCCCGTCGGCCGCTCGACAGCCCTATTAATGGGTCTCCGCCTTCGTCGCACATTCAGACAACACACCGTTAATCAAGGCCGACGAGTGGTAAACAGCTCGCACCTTAATGTCCGCGAACGCTTCAACAGTCACTTGCCAGAAACTGTGCCCGGCCGCTGAAAGGCAGCGATCTCGAAAGCGTCTGCGAAGTGGATGCAAGCTGGTTTTAAGTGCTTGCTTGGTGTGCTCGACGTGCTGCGTCTTCGAGGTGTTGATATTGCCCAGGTCCCGTGCTGCTTGCCGCAGTCTTAAGACGAAGAGGATTTCCGTGAGAGGCTCCCTGAGAAACACTGGGCTTCCTCGATAATCTGCTGTGTTGCCCAGGGCCGCGCCCTGACCGGATGTGCCGGTGCGGGCAGCGGTGAGTGCCACAGCTCCGCTCGTGTATAGGTCGGCGGTCGGCGGGAACTGCAGGTAAACGTCACCGGCGGTGCGGCTCGTGAGCCGAGATCCCTATTCTCCAGGCCGGCGGTCGGCGGGAACTGCAGGTGAACCTCACCGGCGGCGCGGCTCGTGATCCGACGTCCCTGCTCTCCAGGCCGGCGGTCGGCGGGAACTGCAGGTGAACCTCAGCAGCGGTGCGGCTCGTGATCCGACGTCCCTGCTCTCCAGGCCGGTACCAAAAGGCCTGTGCTACCCCTTGTCCTGTGCCCTGTGTAGGTCAGTGCCCTGCGTGCTGTGCCAGCCGGTGGCGGTGTGCTGTGTCGAGCAGTGTCCTGCGCGCTGTGCCGGTCAGTGGCTTCCGTGCTGTACCGGTCGGTATCCGGTGTCCTGTGTCAGTCGATGCCCTGCGTGCCATGCCAGGTAGTGTCCGGCGCGCTGTACCGATCAGAGTCGGTGCGCTGCGCAGGTCAGTGTCCTGCGTACTGTGCCGGTCAGTGTCTGTATTATGGCTGGTCAGTGTCCTGTGGGCTGTGCCAGGCAGTGTCCGGCATGCTGTGCCGGTCAGTGTTCGGCATGATGTGCCTGCTATTGTCCGCTGTCCTGGGACGGTCAGTGTCCGGTGTCCTGCGCCCATCGGCCGACGTTTTTTTTTCGCGGTCCTGAACAAAGATTCGCATGCAGTGTTGCTTACGTGATTTCTCATTTTGGACACTTTGCATTGGCGGTCTTCACAGAGAAGGGCATTTTCTGGATTCATGTGACTTACTTAACAAATGTAACATTGTTCTTAAATTTTCTGAGCATTTCTGTTCAGGCTTCTATTATCTTCCTCACCACTCTTGAGAGCCGAAAAATTGCAGGCCAAAAAATTGCGTATCGCCAATTTGATGCCTTTTCGCGCTATAACGTCATTTAACCACTGTCTCCTGATAAATTGAAGGTCACTAGCACAGCATAAAAGCCTGGAGTTCAGCGTCGAAAAACCAGGAGTTGAAGACCTTTCCTTTTTATGTCAAGCCAATTGCATCCTCCACGCGTAGAGTGGAATGGTCCCGGACTAGCTTTCGCCCACTGCTACCTTCGCTGTGCTTTGTGCGGTTTCTCTCGTTGTGTTCAGCCATTACTGTCAGCTGCACTACCACGTATGTCGTTTTCGGGCTTACATTATCTACCAAGGCACGCTCATAGAGGTGATCCGAGAGGCCCCAATTCATCGGTACTCCTAGCGTTAGTTGAAGAGAAGGTGAAGTACGGAACACTCAGGCCATGTGGCGTCGCGGCAAGAAAACATGTAATTCCAAATTGTTGAGGAAAAGCGTACCGTCCCCTGTCAGCGGGGTTCCAAACCACAAGCCTAAGCCTCGCCTTAGACAATACCTGGGTGCACTGCTGACACCATGCATGGAATAGCGACGTTTAGAATAAGGAACAAAGTTCTTCAAAGTCCAGAGTTCAATGGTCACTGCTAAAAAAAGCTAAGGTTTTTGTTTCGTTTGCATGGAGCCGTTTCGGCCAATACCGACCGTCTCAGAGCAATGAATGAAGTCGGGTAAAGATTGATGGGGCAAGACCACATGCATTTGAGAGCCCCCCCCCCCCCCCGCTACTAAGACTCAGCCCGCACGAGAACCCTCTTCGGGATTTGTGCGGACACTCGGGGGGGGGGGGGGGGGCTCCCAGCGGGGAGACTGGCCCACTCGTGGCTGATGCACCAGCTATCTCCGGGTAAACGGGGCCAGGCTGGGATGGAGGAATAAGCGGGGAATGAGTAGACAAGGACGGATGCATGCAAGGATGATCGGTCGCTAGAGTGATATGGGCAAGAATCTACAGGCGAATGGCGTAAAGACACTTGAACAGACTGACAACAAAATGCCAGGGAGAAAACTGCTGAAACAATCACCTCACCCCACGTCCCATCCGCTGTTATTGATGCCCGTGCTGCGATTGTGAGTTACGGACAACTGACGCGCGACTTATTTATGGGCAATGCCAGCAATCTCCTTCCAGGTATTTCATACTAGCAAGGTTTGCAGGAGTTGAAATAGCATATCATGAACGTTTTCAGCACTCGGCCCATCTCATCTGTCGGTGTATGCAGGTGAGAACCACCGCCCTTCGCTCGGCTCTCCCCACTTGATCCTCCCTCCAAACAGTTGACAATCCCCTAGTTGCATCCCAAGTCCTCACTTTCCTCAGTTGGTGCATGGATCAGCGCAGTATGTTCCCAAATCTCCTGAACTGCTTCATTGGCCTGTCGCTGTTATCACTATTGGGCAAAAACATCTAATCTGCAGTTTTTACATAGAACAGGAGCGGGACCTTCGGGATAGACGTGTGGTTGGCAGTACCGGCCAGCCTCGGGCAAAATTCTGCGAAAAGCGGCCGAAAAGGGTGATTCGCAGACGCTGATGGACCTCAGGAAGACGAGAATGTACCAGGACGTTCGAAAGCTAGGATCACTACCGCAGGGCGGCGAGAGTCCACCTCCAGTGCAGGCCATTAACCAGGCCCCAAACATGACAACTGACGGACAGCTGAGCTCCCGCTCAGCTATAACATTGCACGCATAGTCCAACCAACCCAGCTGGTGGCTTGCCATGAGCACCAGCCTTCTCGTACCGTGGTGCCGCAACGTCAGTTCTTGAGCCGGTAAACATATATTTCCAGCATCAGCGATGCAGCGCAAGGATGACTCACTTCGCGTAGCTTCTATACGTCCCCTTGCCACTAGCCTAGAAACACATGAGCCATGGGACATGTGAGCCTCTCCACAAACAAGCAACATCACAATTCAGCATCACCCTGTGACGGCGGGCGCGGGGACATGTTCTGGGCACGACCCTGATCAGCACCAGGCGTGACCATGATGTCCAGTACCAGTAAACAAGTACAACAAACATCACGTGCTGCACTCACGTCCTGCTGTCCCCGGACCTTACACCACGGGCGCGCACGAGACCGTCCACGCCACCCCGGTGTGGCGCAACACCCACGGGCGTTCGACCCCGCACGACGCGCCGGCGGCGCCTCGGGTACACAACACAACACGGGAGAAAGGGAAACCTAATCGCACGGGCGCCGCTACAACGCCTGGCCGGGCGGCTGGCCCAGCTGTGACGGGTCCTCCATCTGCGGGTGGCCCGGCTTGAACTGTTCGGCCGACAGCCTCGTGAAGAGGATGCCAACGCCCTCGATGAGCGCCAGCAGCACGCCGCCGATCACGGCGCTGCCGGCCATCGCCGCCGGCCCGTTGCGCGCCGCCAGGATGCCGCCGGTGGCCGCGCCGCTGATGATGCTGTTCCACGGGTCCTCCTTCTTGCGCAGGATGCACCAGCGTGCAGTCGATGGTGGAGAACATGCCGCCCCAGACGGCGAAGTTGCCGCCGATGATTGGCGCGCGAGACTTGACGGCCACCAGGCTGCCGGTGGCGCGGCGCGCCAGCCCGCTCGGCGCGTTCCGGAAGCCCTTGATTGAGTGGAACACGGCACCGCCGATGCAGCCCATGGTGAAGGCGCCGCCGCAGTCGTCCAGGATGCGCCAGGGGCACGGCTCGCGCGAGTACTCTTCCATCGCGGCGCTGTCGGGGCAGAAACGATGACACCGCGTCCTAGTTGGGATCGTGACATTAATAGGCTAGCTTACAGATAGACAAATCGAAAGGCAACATACACATCACTATGAATGCCACAAAGCTCTTTAAAAGATGTTGAAAATTATTACGAGCAATGGTCGACACTATTCCAAAATGTTTAATGATTACACATATAGACTAATGTTCCTTCCATCTTACCCATATTCTGTTCAGTTAATGCTGCCCATAAATATAAAAAATACTTGTTAACCTCATACAAGATGCTGAGCTATAACAATTTTGCTGTGACATGCATGGATCCAATGCTTTGTCCAACCCAATGAAACAATGTTCAACAATGAAAAACAGCGACAATGAATCACTTCCTGATAGTTCATGTTGTCTGTCTGTGTGCATTTTCAAAGCTGAATCTAGTACACAATGTTGTTCTATTTTCACGTTTGCCAAAAATGTATGAGTTGGGAAGTATGGCACATGAAAATACTGCTCATCTGTTTAACTTAGATTAAACCACGCAATGTTCCAAAACTAGTTTCTTTGGCCTCAATGCTGAAATACTGCTTGCTAAAAATGGCAGGGGAAGTGATCATAGGGCCTGTCCGCTGCAGGTGCATGGCCATGTCTGCGTGGGTGATGGTACACCTTAGATGAGCTATAAGCTTACAGCTCACCTCAAGAGATGACTGCCAGTAGCCCCAATGCACACCTGTGCAAAGGTGATGTGGAGTGTAAAACTGATAGGCCATGTGTCAGAATCTAAAACCAGCATCTGACCATATATCCTTCCCAACCTACCCTATCCACCTATGACTTCTTGTACCCAATGGGATAACTTCCTGGTAGCAGACGATATTTTCATCACATATTTGTTATCATAGAGTAATGACACATACATGCCTATGCAAATTTTTGCCAGCATACAGTGCTGTGGTCTGCTTGTGTTTAGAGGTGGCAGCACCAGTGCTCCATTCACAGACCTTGGTACATAGCTCCAATCATTCGCATTTGCCCATTATTCTGCTTCATCAGTGCATGGTGGGTGCATGTGATGGTGTTAACAGTGAAAGTTTGAAGCTCAATGCATTACTTTGTCAAGTGAAGAATGAATATGCAATGCATGAAGGCATTATGCATGTTGTGCTCCAATGTTGCAAAGCAGAGGAGGTTTGCAGGCCAGCTAGCAAAAAATATGCCACTGTGCCAGATAACATTGGTATTCTGAGCCTTATGCCTGCATGCACCACTCAAGCAAGGCTAAATTGTGCTGAATTTTCAACTTTTTTATTTTAAAAATCTTGAGGTAATTTGTGGCTGGAATTATCTTAACAAAATTTTGCTTTCATGAAGCACTGAAATTTTAATTTAAAAAAAAACATCTTACTAGAATTACCTTGACAAAATTTTCATTTCCTGAAACATTATCTCTTTATGTTCTGAAATTTGTACCACCTGTTAGCCCAACTCTAAGTACTCAGATTCAAGGCATATATATGCTGAAATTTTTGCAGCAATGTTGCCATGCTATTACTACTCTGGACATATCTGATATTACTGCTACCCCACACAAGTTTGGCATAGCATACATTTTTGAAGTCTGGTTTGATGGTTCTGATAGGAAATGCTTTTGTTTAAGCAGTTTAACATGTCAGGTGAGGCCACTACCAGCTGCTCTTCCCAGCAAGGCCTAACTCATAGAGCAGTTACCATGTCCTTGTTGGACAATGTGCCAGCATCATTTCCAGAACCTCAACCTATCTCCCTGCACATGATAATTTTCATTGGAATTTCACCTGGGATACTGTGGTGTTCCGGTTTTGTGCTATTCTAGGAAATGCATGTGTATGTCCAAAGCCATCACCATGACACAAACCAGATCATTACTGGTGTTACTATTACTGGCATCAGTTGTTTCCATAATTCTGAACCTGCAATAAGAAGCAGTGCACTCTACTGCATTTGATTCCAGATACATAATTCAGGAACCTTGTGAAAAATTGTATTATAATGCTGGAAAAGAAAACATTCAGATTTTTCTTCATAAACTACCAAGGCTCCCTATCCAAATGTAACACACCTTGGGCATGATACTTAAGGATAATTTATTGTTTGCAGATCCTAACCATTACATCCTTCACACATGCAACAGCAGAGTATGATAATTAAGGATCTTTTTCTGTTTGGAAGTCATAACAAAATTCATAGGCAACAAATGACTCAAATATCACTCTTAATGTGTGCTTATGTTTGCAAATGTAGGTAGTCAACTCTCGTTCAGTGGTGCTCTGCATTATTGTTCTCACCAAAGATGGATTATAATGCTACAGTTCTCATTACGTTCAGTTATATGATTGTGCGCTGGTTTGGCTCATAATTGATGAGCAATCATTGCACAGCCTCTCATTATGCTGTTGTGCATGCTTGCTCACAGTCCATTCATACAAGCTAACATATTCCATGGTGACATCCATATAACACAGTTATTCAATAACAGTACAAAAGTGAATAGGAATTGAACACCTAGCTTGCCTAATGGCTATCTGCAGACTATGCAGATAGTCTGCAGACTGCAAGCTATCTGCAGGCTGATATAATGGCACCATTCTCCCTAGATCAGAAAAAGTTATCCACTAATCATTATACCTACACAACAAGGGTGCTTCAAACATTACTCTTGTGAGCCAAACCCACACCAGGTCAAATTGCAGTCAGTTGAGCAATAATTTTTGCTTGCTAATATTTTGCAATATTTTTGTCTGAAATAGCCATTGGAAGATCATAATATGCTGAAATATTGCCTATATGTCCAGAAAATGGTAGAGGCCTCACACCACATCCCTAGGTGCTCAGGTGTACAATGAACATGCACTCAAATTTAAGATGCAGTGTCATTGATAAGCAAGACAGGTTTAATGTAACACGCATTTTAAGGCAACCTGACCTTCATTCAACTGAAACAGGGTCTCGTCTCCCCCTGCCACCACCCAGCTCGCCCGCTCGCACCCCAAAATGAAATTCACACAGGTATCTGGATGTACCCATCGCCTCAGTCCCCACCAATGCCGGTTCTCACCCAAAGTGTCTGGCAGAACCGTGATGGTGTAGCTCGCACAGACGCAGCAGACGCCAACCACCCAAACAACTCCCCGCCTAGCCCACAAATCTAGCGTAGGGCCCCGACCTGCGCTGGTTCTCCACCAATCCACATGGTCCGCAGAGAGCCGCACGGTACTGCGTCAATTTCGCCGAGGCTACATCTCGCCAAGAATGATATGGAAGCACGCAGGGAGGGAACAGCCACAAAATCTGTTGCCAACTCATGCTCCAAGCTTTGTGAGCGATCATCACCAAACCTTCGGCATTCGATGCAATGAAGCGACAGTGGCCTTGGCTGAGTAAACAATGACCAACGGTGCCAAACATCGGAGAAATCAATTCGCAGACAACCGATGCCCAGTGCCTACAAAATAATAATCACAAAATCTTCACCAGTCCAGGCGCCTTAGTCGACAGCGTTGACCATGGCGTCCTCCTGACCAATGTGCAGTGGTACGGCATTGATGCCCGGTGGCTGAAAAATTAAATGCTATCTTGATGAATGGTGGTAGGTTTTGATAGGTGGTTCATTGTCTGTTCACTGTCTGTTCACTGCGGCGTGTTACATCTTGCGCACTCTTTTCGTGCTTTCATCGTATTGCAACAATTAGCATGTCTAATATATAAATATGTGGCTAATTCATGTTGATATATGACGTGTCGACCCCCGCCTGGCATTTTTATATGCGCTTCAATGGACATTCTGCAGGAAAATAGCAGATCAATGAATATTGTGCGGTCTGAATTTTGTGCCCTGGGAGTGGACGCGTCGTGGTCAGACTTACGTTTGTAGTCAAATTAATCATCTTGCATAGCTCATATCCTGCATACTGCTTGGGGAGACTGTGCATTTCCCCGAGTTTGACGGCAGGATTTTTGCCACCACGGGATAAATGCGTCACAGATGCTTTGCGTTATGACTTCTCGTGGGGAGCGATGGAGGAAGTCCTACGCGGTACGTAGGCAGCTGTCTAGCCGTGGGCTGAAAAGTCCCACTCCTTACAAAATTTAGGGAATTGACTGTTAGTCGATCTCTCCGCGACTCTCAAATGAGGTTGAACGCATTTTTGCACGTCACTGGCCGCAACTCATTGATCTTGCTCAGGCATATGGAACAATGGCATAGCTACATAAAATCATGTTTTTGCGAATGAAACGTAGACAATTGACATTGCTGTGAATAAACGGATAGTCCGCTACTTTATCACGAAATATTTGAGAATCCAATCCCAAAAGCTTCCAGCAAATACTTCTGCAGTCTTTGCAGCATTTCACTCAATTTTGGATGGAAAAATACAGGTAAATATGTAACAATTATCCTTTATTTTTCCGTTATCGGCGGCTGTTGTTTTCTTGGAGCCAGAATGATCCGATAAGGCCTTGTCTGTCATCGCCATACATGCGGCACGTTTCGCTGGGCACGAACAGGTCGCCCGCGTTGTCGATATTGCCGGTCCTGACGTCCCGACGCCGGCAGCCTTTTCATCCAATAGCTCCCTCTCAGCCGTTTCCTCGAATGAGCCCCTTTCGATCGTTGGCAATTACTAGGGGGTAATGGCCTGGTCCCGGGATTAATGCTGCGCCAACCAGCGCCTACGGCGGTGGGTTCAGAGTCACGAGGGCCGCCAAATAGACCCTTTGATACGGTGGCCCATCACGAGGGCAGAGCCTGGCTCAGAGTCGTCGGTGCAGTCGTGTAACCCACAGATTTGATAAATTGACGTGTCGGTACTGTAGCGCTATAGTATGCAGGGGTGGCGCCACGAATTTCGAGTTGGGTGGGGGGGGGGCAGGATTTTCCAGGGGGCCGGCTGGAAAATGGGGTCTGCTCCCAAAGGACCTCCCACGAAGTGTCATATTCAGCGGGAAGAGGCACCGAGGGCACGTGCCCGCTTATCAAACTGTTGCAGATACCACATAAAAGTAAATTAATTTCAACAATATTTAACGGTTTAGTTAAAAACTATTGAAATTTTCTTGGAAAGATTAAATCTATTCGTGTATATTTGGCTTGTTTCCCACTAACTTACACCTTGAGAGAAATTTCTGAATATAGAAGCTTTTGCTTTCTTAGAACCCTGCTGCGTTTGCGGAATTGTGGAGCGTTGCATCCATTGAACAGTTAAACTGAGAATGGGGGCCTTCTCATAAGCCAGTAAACCATTTTACTAACCTAGAACATCTTTTGCAGAAAAAGGCATCCCGATCCATATACATGCATCCTTTTCGAGAATAGAATGCCTCCGATTACGAAGGGAACTCTACATTTAACCGAGGGGACACGCTATCACAAAACTAGCCAAGGGGCCACGCTATCACGCTATCTAGCCAAAGGGTCACGTTATCACAAACTAGCCAGGGAGCCACGCTATCACGCTATCTAGCCAAGGGGTCACGTTATCACAAACTAGCCAGGGGGCCACGCTATCACGCTATCTAGCCAAGGGGTTACGTTATCACAAAACAGAGCATCCTAATCCGGACCAACGCCCATCTGATGCATGGAATGACTCGCTGTTCCAGAGATGGGGCCTCCTGAATAGAGCGGGTGCGTCCTAACCAGGACAGGGGCCTCCTAGTTTTCAATGGGGGCCTCCCGAACCAGCAAAGTGGCCTCCTCCGCACAGCATTGTCCTCCTGACCCCGAGCATTCACTGCCTTCCTCATAAAGACGACCTCATGATGCAGCAGACGGGTCTCTTGATGTAGCGAGCAGTCCCGATTTATCACGCTCTAGCTCAGGAGTGGGGGGGGGGGGGGGTCTTCTTATTCTGAATTTGGGTACCCTACAGGTAGCTACAATGCCTTTAGTTTGGAAAAACGGGCCCCCAGAAATTGGGAAAGGGGCAGCTGTCCCCTCTGTCCTTCCGGCTGCCCCCCAGCAGGCCTCCCCCCCCCCCCCCCCAGCAGGCCTCCTGATAGCAAGCGCGTGACCAAGACCGTCCTGTAATTGATACCGAAAAGCCATCTTGTTCAGTGTACAGTACATGTAGTCAGTGCTAACCATGGTTGATATCACCTGCAACTTGGTGCACAGGGGCAGACAGACACCGCATGCGTCAACTCCGTCAGTTGTGCACACATTACTTTGTTCACCCAGATCGTTTTCGCACTTCGCAACAACGTTCAAGGTACTCACTGGATGTCAGTTATCGCAGGGCGTGGTTATCACCGACTCTCGGCACCGGATTCAACACGCAGATGTCGTTCCCAGACTATGCCGTGACCATCACCTGGCCCTTGGGTGGCCCCATCACCTTGGGCAGCAAACGCAACAGAACAGCAGTACGAAATATGAAAACTATCGCCGAATGAACACGGATGTGCTTCTGCATGATCTGGCCGCAGCCAACTGGTGCAGTGTCCTAACGCCTTTTTCATCAGAGATGAACAGCGAGATGGGCTCTTAACCACCGTAAAATCGCCGCTTGACAATATTCCCCAGAAGGAAAGTCCAAATTTACAACCCGATCACTCAACCTGTGCTGGATGCGACTAAGGAGGTCATGACACAACACTGTGCCCTTTGTCATGCCGGCGTGATGTACAGGTAACTGAAAAGTCGGGGCATGCAGCCAGCCGATGCGATCGCGGCGAAGGCATCTAATGACGCATATAGAGACAGCAGGTCCGGAAGCCAGCACCTCCATAGCCTCGTCGGTGGCAGGGAACAACTGCTAACAAAGCCTCCAGACGAGCTGGTAGGTCAGGCCGACGAATTCGTCGCCGTGAGGCCGCCTTGTTCACGAGTGTGCGCCGGGTCCTTTGTCCACGACCTGTTACCTGACACGAACTAAAATGCGTTATAGTATCGATGGACACCAGCGGCGCTTGTGGTTGCGATGGCATGACGCTTGATATGGCCGAGGTCTGCCCACCATCTGTTATGCCAGCGTTACTGCACATTATTAACATCAGTTTTTGCTTCTGGGATACTGCCATGATAGTGGATGATATCACTTGTGGGACCGACTGTTAGACCTGACCGAATTAGGAAATCTCGAAGCAATCCCGCTCATTCCCATAGAGCCTATGCGAAAAGAGAAGCTAACGCACCAGCAGCTTAACACGCTGATACATCACCTGCTTTGATATAGCCAGGCAGCACCGACTTGTAGGTGTCATTCGTCTGAGAAGTTTCAAAATATATGATATAAAACTATGTAATATCAATAAACTGGCATTCAAAACATACAAAATGCTCAAACTCGACCAACAGGCCTCGTTCCAATACATGCAGGGCGTACTTTGGTTCGTCTGTGGGTTCCATTTTGTTTAGTTCATTCAAAAATGAGTATAATCGTCATGCTGATGCACAGCTTTCACAGTGTGCGGATGACTGCCAAGCACTTGTAATGGGAAACCCACAAAGTCTAGAGAAACTCGTAAAATTCATGGAGAAAGCCATTTGATTGCTAAGCAAATGGTTCACGTACAATGAGATGAAACGATCCCATCAAAGACGTAGTTGATAAGTAGCTCTTTGAAACATGTTAACGCTTCAGAAGCCTGTCCTCCAGGCGAAATCCACAAGTTTCGCGCGCGTTTGTTGGAATTAAATCCTTCGTTGTTTTCGGTAAGTCGTAAATCAGTTTCCCTATAGTCATTAGTCATCAGTTTATGCTCGCCCACGTTTCAAGGCAATTCGTTACCCATGCTCAAAGCAATGCATCGGACGGAAGCATTCGGATGTAGCGAAATCAAGGCATGCTCTTCTCGACATATCCAAAAGTGAGCCATCAGTTCACAGATTATGCATCCGAATATCAGGTCAAATTACAAAACACATACAAACACACGCACAGCACTTCTCCAGCCAGTGCGACACCATGACAAGTGCAAGACATTTATCACCCTGCTGTCATTGGGTGGCTGAACAGGTCCAAGGGAATGCATGGCGAGGGCTGCCTCGTTGAAGTCAGATTTTTTCTCTGATGAGAATGGCTTTGAGAACTTGCAAAAAGCATTTGTTTGGGCATAAGTTAAGAGCCAATGGAGTCAGAACCTAGGAGTTTTTTATTATGAGTTTTGCACATATGCTGGTTTGGCGCACACAAGATTGCTGTACGAAGGACGAACAAATCCAGTGCATTTGTCCTTTTGGACAAAACTTCCTATCTGAATAAAATGGATCATCTCCTCTCTGACACCTCCAAGTTCACCCACATCACGAGGCATCCTACCAAAAGCCGACTTTGAAAATGAAGAGCCTGATCACTGAAACAAATGCCCTGGTGGGCGGGCAGCATTTAAAGGTCACAGATGAATATAGCCCTGGTTATGCCCACAGTGACGTAGAATCGCATGAAACAGACAACATGCTGAGACCAATTACATCGCAAATCCCACAGCCTGCCTTTCAGCTGGCAAAAACTTTACATAGCATGACTGAGTCCTTCACATCGGCAGTGTATAACTCGAAATCAACGGGAGAGTTCGTTGAAATTATCAAGTCTAGCGATTTTAGTGGTTTACTCACCTCATCAGGCGCAGACAGTCTGTTAACAAATACGCCTGCTGATGAAGCAGTCCAGATTATACTTGACTGCATCTACAATCTCCCAAACTTGGCAGCACTGAGCCTGTCACGATCCATTCTTGAAAGAAGTTCGGACACTGCACCGCAGGGGCACTCTTCCGTTCTCTAAACGGAAAACTCTACCATCAAGTAGATGCTGTCACAATGGGATTACCGCTCGGATGCTCGTTTGCGAATAGGTATTTGTGCTGGCTGGAGAACCATGTCCTCAAAAACCTGAACCTTAAACCACATATATACTGCAAATATGCCTATGACATATTTCTTGATGCTACGGACGAGGCCCACCTTTGCCAACTGCAGGTCTCTGCAGCAGCAATTGTATCACGATTTACAACTGACCTGTCTGTCGACAACCGTTTACCATTTCTTGACATCGATGTGGATGCGAGTAACGGATCTTTTGTGACGAAAATGTACCGCAAACCTACTGATGCTGGCAAATGTACGAAAGCGGCTGGCCCAGAGCGTTCCCACAAGGCCGTCATTCGTTGGTTTGTACGATGCACTCTAAAATGTTGATACAGCTGGTCCAGCACGCACCACGAACTTGAACGGCGCAAGCAACTGTTCGTTAATCATGGCTATTCGAGCAGCGCAATTGACCAATAAATTAGTTCCATTTTTAATCAACGTAATCTGAAACTAGATAACGCAGAAGTAATAGACTTATTCTTTGGAGAGAAGCCAGAAGAATGAAGATACATATGCATCGATATTTAGGCAACGTGCCTTTATCGAACCGAATAGTAAAAGCTTTTCCTTCTGTCTTCGTTATTCTATTTCTTCTTGTCCTTCTCAGAAGCTTATTCCTTTGTCGTAACGAATAGCAGAAGCTATTCGTTTCGATAAAGGCATGTTGCCAGAATATCAACGCGTCTATATCTCCACCCCCTGCTTTTCTCCGAAGAATAAGGCTATCGATACTGTCTTATCTATGTGAATAACGTTGCTCACAAGTGCGTGATACCTAAAATAACTTGCGCAATTTTAAACCTGGAACTACTCAACAAGAAAGCACCCCGTCAATCTTTTAACGAAATCAAATGCTGCCGTCATATTAGGTGACCGAAAAAGTTTTGCGGTACATCATCAGGACAGATATCATACAGACTGACGAAGGCAATGAAATAAGATCTACTATCTACAAAAAGAGCAGGACAACTAACAACCTTGTAATAAAAAGCAGTCTGACAGCAGACCAAACCAAATGAAGTGCACTAATGCAGCGTATAAATTTAAATGCGGGGACTGCCGGTTCTGCATCTCGATCTTTATTGGAACTTCAACATCTCTACCACGACGCATGACAATAGACCTGCAGTAGGGAACGTCGTACCAGCATATGCGCAAAAATTACGATCAAAATGTACTACGCTTTTGCCTAAATGAAAACAGACTTATTATAAACATATCATATCCAAACAGGCGCCGTTTACAAGTTCTCGAAGTCATCAATCAGGAAAGAATGCGCGACTTAAATAAAGTGCTTAGATTATGCGCCACTTTGGACCTGCTCAGCCATCCAATGGCAGTAGGAGACGATTCAATGTCTTAAACCTATCATGGTGTTAAACTGGCTGAAAAAATCGACACCGGTAATCGTGCCTTCCCCCTTCACTCCGCCCATGATGGAATCCGGTGTTGGACAATCGCACGTATGGAAAACCTACGTTTGCATTAATTGCATACAAAATCATTCGTAAGCAAATACACGTAAGGTTTAAAGTGCATATGGCAGAAGTACGTGCGCAGAAGTTCGTCCACAGAAGTTCGAACGCCAAAGTTCGTAAGCAAATATTCGTATGGCATAAAGAACGTATGGAAATTTTGGTATTGACTAACGTTTGCCAGGTCAAAACTTTGGATGGTAAAAGTTCGCATGCACAAAGCACGTGCGCAGTTGTTCGTCAGCGTTTGAACATACGCTTATGTTCGAAGCGGACAAAGTTGGCTTGACAAAATAAAAGCGCGCAAAGGTTCACGAGCAGCATAGTCAAGGAAGCCGGGCAGCGGGGTGCACGCTACTTTCCGAGAGTGATGCACGTACAGTCTATGGCAATGCATGGAGAGAACTGCTCTCGGCATATCGGATGCTACTTCTATGAGGAGTGTTCCAGGACGGGCCGGCCACCCACCCAGGTAGGTAGGTACCAAATAGGCACCCGCGGCTCTTACACTTCGATGACATTTGGTTTCCGTAATGGTCCAAGGTGTGAATTCGACTGAGGAATTTCTAGCTGTATTTGGAATACCGTCTTAAAAATGATGCTCCCAAGTAATGTTGGGTCCAAAGAAAATGAATCGAAGTATGCATCCAGCTGGTGCATTGTTCTCCCTTTGCTGATGATTCTCTCTTTGATATCTTTTAATTCTCGCTCTTTGACCAACAGTTTCGTATAATCTTTGTGTCTTTACATCTGATATCGCAATATGACATTTTGCTTACGTACGTTTGTCAAACGAACGCTATTCAAAACATTTTTTTCATATCCAACCATTTACATTCTTATATTGGATACCAGCAATTGCTCACGGCTCATTTCGATACGATCTTAAGAGCATACGAGCATTTTCGTTGCGAGCATTTCTTGACAAGCATTTCGCCGCACAATCTTTATCCATACGAGCTTGTGGCATTGCAAACTTCTCGAACTTCACCCTGACGAATATTATGCATATCACTTTGTTTATTAGCGCCGGTGTGGAATGGGTAGCGGAAAACGGAGAAATATCGCAGGGCGCTTATAAAGAAGCGCCCTGCGATATTTCTCCGTTTTCCGCCACCCATTCCACACCGGCGCTAATAACAAAGTGATCCTGCCGCACAATATGACGCAGTACCAGGCACATACGGCGCACCCGCCCGATTGGCCGTGCGAACATCGCTGACCGTCCATCAACACGTCGGGCGTCGCAGAGGCTCCTGGCCCTCTCGTAGGGTGGGTGAGGACAGGTAGGGGAGGGGCGTGAGGGGGCGTGGACGAAAGTGAGCTTCGGTTGTTGGTGTGCGATCCGCCGGAATTGCAGCTTTGGCATCAGGTCCACTGTGTAAGTACATAACACAGCATTTTTGCCTCTGTTTTGCAACATTTTTGCTACTGGTGAGGGGGCTTGGCTGACGAAATGTACTCATCACATACCACTTATCAACAATGTTTTTTCCCCAATTAAGTTTTTTTCTTGGGTGAACAGCAAGAAATGGGACAACCCTTTCCTATGATACATGTGTAAACAAGTTTATGTGCAGATTTAGCACACTTTCCTGTCAAAATTTGTGTAGCCCAATTTGGAGTTAGATGTGTTGGAGCTCACAAAATTGAAAAGAAACTACACCAGTGGTTCCAATGCCTATGCTGTCTTCATAAAGTGTGTTTTCAATGTGTACAGAGCCCTGCTTGTCACTCAATGGTGTTTTTGCATGTCATTTCACACTTATTAGAAGAGTACATTGTCTGCAAATGGTTCACATTATAGACTTGTGGCAAAGCTGGGTTACTTGTTAAATGTATGCAATGATGCTGTGAATTTGCTCAGCATTCAGAATCAAAGGCTGATCAATGAAGCTTGATCACATAGTTGTGTCATGGTTCAACTTAAAACCTTTAAACTAGATTGAAAATTATTATTACAGTGTTTTTTTGCAATGTCTGCAGTGCATTGCTAGCCATGCATGTCTCAATTCCCAAAATGCTGTGTCATAATTATTACAGACCTTTGCATACATCCTAAGAAAACTAACCTGATGCTATGATTCTGTGCCATGCACAATCTTTTCAGAGGAGGTAATTATGTTGTGTGAATTTGAACAGAGCAGCTAAACTCAGCTGGAATAGCAGTGTCCAGTTCCAAAATTCCAATAGTGAAATGTCAGTGAGATGGTGGTGGCTGGACCACCAGCACCTACATTTTGAAACATTTGATGAAAATAAACAATTGATCAGATCACAATAAATTGTAGAGATAAATTGCAAATGTAATAACAAGCTACTAAAGCAAAATTGATTATTGCAGCATGTCACACTGTCAATACTGGGTGTTCAATGGTTGATTACTGGTAGGAGTGTCAGCATGAGTTGGTTTTAGCTGGCGTCATGTGTATATATGCATATTATAGTCATAGCTCTCCCAAGAAGGTGTAATGTTTGATTGTGCAGATGCCTCACATGAGCACATGACATATGTTTTATGTTTTTTATGTTTTGGGAGGGAAGTGGATCAATTCCAGTTAGATAGGTTGTGTGTATGTGTGTGTGTGACATGACTAGTGTTTTAATGTCCATTCATGTTTAGTCATATTATATGTAGGCTTTTTGCAATAAATGTGGGGAACTCTCAAGTATTGCTTGGTAGTTGTCTACATTGCTATTAAAACACTTCCTGTAGGGACCTTTAGCATCTACTTTGCTTGCTTATATAGGCAATGTTCTGAAAAAGAGCATCCTGCTCCCTTGATGTGCCTCATTATGTTGGATCATTAACCACTGCTGATAATGTATAACAGTCTGTTACTGTTTCATTCCAGATGCTAGTAATATTTGAAGTCACCAGGTGACATGCCTGAACAAATAGGAGACACTATTATTCAGCACTAGCAGAAGGCAAACCCAGGAGACAGGGTAAGTACAGTTGACTGCTAACCTAACCCAATGTCACATGTGCATATTCTGAGGTCATATGGCATAACATGACATGTTAACAAAGCAAGATCAGCAAAAAAGATAATAATTAAATTGAAATACTTAAAATGAACTAGCCATGACCAAGAGTTATGAATGGCAAAACTAAATTCACGATAACTTGAAGTGATCATTGTGCTGCCCTACCACCTCGCGCCACATCCGCCATTCAGTGGTTCATGTGGCCATCTCCAGGCGGCGCCACCCATTATGCGCTCCGTCGGTGACTGTTGATCGCATGTCTTTTATAATTTTGCTCGTTACTTTTTTTAGTTTCTAGCAATTTTGTGGGTATGGCATTTCAAAACGAGGTAATTTAGAATGTAATGCCAAGAGCGATGTTACCTATTCAGTAGCGGAGGGGGGGGGGGGGGGGGCGTTCCAGCCCCTTTCCAGTCTGGGCTCGAGGCCCCCTCCCCTACATGCCAGTTTTGAGAGGGAAGTGGATCAATTCCAGTTAGATAGGTTGTGTGTATGTGTGTGTGTGTGTTTTTGACACTTTTCATTGCTGGCCCCCCCCCCCCCCATTCTGCCAGACTATGCCCTGGGAAAATGCGTCGCTTTCTCGTGCAGGTGTCCACACTTCTAACTAGGGAAATTACGTTTTGGATTCGTGTGAGGTAATCACTGAGTTCCGTGGATTCAAGCCCCAGGCAAATCTGAAGAATGTTTCCGGTTTTTCATCCGATGGTATTGGAATTTGGGGGGATCCGCTGCGCCGAGTAAAAACTATCGGTTTTTGAAAGATTTCGAGAGAGCGCTCGTTTCGCACAGGGGCAGGTGGTTTCATTTTACATTGTGTTTGTTTGTTCTTTGGGTGTGTTTATGAACCATTGCTGAATGAGCATTGGTCTGTTGTCGGACGGTGTCAAGGTGTTTGCGTTTCAGAGGACTAAGTATGGGTGACGTGCGTCTAGTATTCAACGTGTCGTATCCTAGTTCCGTCCGAATTTTGTCGCCAGATATTTGAGGGAAAGAGCCTCTTGGTAGTCTAGATATATCATCTGTATTCGTTTCAGGGTTGTTGTTTTTTTGTCGAAAAATTTCCTGGTGCGTTTTGCCAGCATGGTCTAAAGCTGGTCATATATACACATTGTAGATTTCGTCAAAAATGATCCGAAGTAAGAATTTGCAACGGAATATTTAGGGTTCTTTTTATTCTTAATATATTTTGATGATGCCATTTACATGCTCTAAAGATCGAAAGTCAGTAGACAGGGTAAGACCCAAGTGGCTCTGGCTTTTGTCGTCGGTGCAGGGAAGGTGACATCCGTATTTCTCTTTGGGGAAGGCGTAATCGGCTTCTCGTTTGTTTTTTTTTTTGCAAACCACGCTTGTAGGTCTGGAAGTTTCATCTTGAAATTTGCTTTTCGTAATTTTCTCGTCTATCTTTTGTGAAACTTCCAACATTTAATCGTGACCAGAGGCACATTTAGAACGGGTTTTTGGAAGGCCGGTTGGCTATTTTCACGTTTTGGTACGGACAGGAACTAACGTGAACTTAATGAACCCTCCTTTTGGTGCGCTTTGCATTGCAATGTGCCGTTAAATTTATGTGGATATTGCACTTGTTCAGTGTAATGATGCAATGACGTAGGCGGTTTCAAGGAGCGGAAGAGGGGCTGGTTGTGATAATGGGTGGTGATATATTTCGTAATTGCAATGGAATTGCCGGTTTGGCGTACGTTTCGACTCCTGAGGCGGCTTTTAAGGTTAGGCTGGGTTCTGTGTTTGGGTCAGCGGCGGATGTGCCGAAGGATTTTGGCGGCACTACGCATCTCTTCGCAATAGGCTGCAAACACCACAGTATAAACTTATTTACGCGACTGTGTAACGCTGGTCGCGACGGCCAATAATTGCTAAGGTTGATACGCTGACCGCGTAAGTAGCGATGATCGATTTACCCGGGAATGACAAGGACGGTTTCAGGATCGTGGAAAGTGACGGGATCTGCCTTTGGCTGTTTTTTTTTTAACACTGATTACAACACGCACACGAAAATGTGTTTTTTAGGCGGGTTAAGGGTGTTGAAAGCGCATTTGTGAAACAGCTTTGCCCTCGTTACTGTTGCCACAATGTACTGGATGGTTTCGCTGGTCGCATTTCAAAGAATTTCCAAAAAATTAAGAGAATTTTGACGACTTGCTGGACATTTTGTAAAATTACGAAGTAAGGATTCAAACTGTTAGCACATGTCGTCCTGGCACGGTATTGTGATCAAGCGTGCTCATGCACTTTCAGATGCATGTTCTCCCTTTTCTTGCCCGCTTTTCAGTGCTTTGATAAAAATTGGAAGATGTGTATCACGTGGCTTGCGGTCTCTTGGGTTAACGTTACCTCCTTGGAGCCTCAAACGCCGAAACAGACCCCAAAGTGTGACACATGCTGTTTCAACACATGCTCAATCTGGACCTTCGTTGAGATGCCTTGGCCCGACCACTTTCACTTTTTGCACAGTTCTGTGTTTCCGGGTAGAATGTTCTGCGTTCACCAAATGTTTGACCACTTCTGCGTTCACTCAGGCTTGCTCAGAAAGCGCGCGAGAACACTTTCTTTCATCGGTCACCTTCATGAAGTTATTTTCCAAAAACTTGGACTGGAACAGACTTAAGTTATTATTTCTCGCCAACCATTTACGCATGCAACGGAACCTTTTCAGTCCTACGATGCATGTTTTGCCAGTTCTCTTTTTCCATTTGCGTCATGGCCCCTGAGCGCTGATCTGGTCATCGCAGTCGCCGCCGCTCCATAAAAGGGCTCATGGGATGTGCGTCACGTGACATTCTTTAAAAACGAGTTGTGCAGTATTTCCTCGATCGTGCAAGCGGTCCGGGTTCGCTGTTTTCGCCTTCGAATCTTAATGCGCACTCACACGCTCAGACTCTACAAAAGCACTGGTCCCATTTACGCCACGTTCGTGTGCGCAATCACGCACTCAGACTCTACAAAATCACTGGTCCCATTTACGCCACGTTCGTGTGTGCAATCGCACGCTCAGACTCTACAAAATCACTGGTTCCATTTACGCCACCCAAGTGTGCACAATCGCACGCATAGACTCTACAAAAGCACTGATCCCATTTACGCCACGTTAGTGTGCGTAATCATACGCTCAGACTCTACAAAAGTACTGGTCCGATTAATGCCACGTTAGTGCCCGTTGCTGACTGCTGCCATCAGCTGCTTGTTTCTACGACAAATCGACACAGCAATGATACTGTTCATTTCAGATGCCAATGAAAATACTCTGAAGGATTGTCTTTGGTACTGCACCCAACCGTGTAGTTCTTAAATAATTCGATTAACGTTGACGAAGTTAAAGCCTAGGGCATTTTTCAGCTGTCACATATCAAGCATATCTCTTGAAGCCTCTGAGTCAACGTAGACTTACCTGAACCTGAACAGTGCAGAACTGCCTATCGCCAAAATTAAGATCTTCAGCTATGTTCTGACCATTCTAAAATTTGCGTGCACGCGTATTTTGAAGTCGCGATCTTGCGACGCAATGTCACATGATCTGTGTTGACCGTTAGGACAGTCACAACGCCGTTTTTTCGAATGCAGGAACGGAGGGGGGATAATTTGCGGTATGATGTAAAAATGCTCGTATTTCTCACGCTGTTGACTTTGATCTCAACTTTGGCGTACGAGGCCGGTTTTGTTCCGATTCGGCAGACTGGAGATTATGATCTTCAGCTCGCAGGAAAAGCTGTTAGAACCGGACACACGCATCACCGCTTGGAATATTTAATGATGCGTTGCGTCTGTGGGCGAATTGCGTTCTGCGAATGCTCATTTGAGAAGTGACCCAACGACCCGGGGCGAGGTCTTGAGCATGCTGCGTTGTTCGTTACAACTGCTACAGCTGTTCTGTCAATTCATAATGTGGGTCATTTATGTGTCAGTATGGAACAGCCAGCAAATTGGCGTCCAATACAGTACATTTTGGCTCCCACGTCAGTCTTGTCTACTGAAAATATGCATTATTCTGTTTAACCGCCTACACTTTTGTGCCCCCTAATGTCGCCAGGCACTGCAATGCTAAATGTCTGGCGCTTCAAACGATACATGCTGGGGATGAAGATATGCTGCCTATGACGCAACACGCGCATTTATCTGAGATCAACTAACAACATATTTTGCGCGAACGCATTCATTAACACGTGTGCTACATGTGTTACACATGTGATACATGATGTCACATGTGACATCGCTCAGATCGGCTCATGAACTAGTTACAATAATGACGTGCAATAATGTAACCTTATTAAAGGGAATGTTCCATCTTTGTATGGAGATGCCCGACCTCATACCCGTCCGCTACAAATTTCTGAACCTCAGTTCAATACTGAAATGGTAATTTTGAAGGTCATTAGGTGCAGTTCACAGCCCTGTCCTCTTCAGGACTTTCAACCTTCTGGTTTCCATGCTTAACAGCTTTGAGATTGTGCAGACTATTTCACGCTGACTATTTCAAGGTCACCTAGACATACATGAGGTCATAGCAATTGCACGCTGAATATTGCTACCTCATTGGCCTCTGGTGCCCAAGACCAGTATGAATGTTATCATCAAGTTTTTCGCATCTGGCGTGTCACCACGATGTCTGGTACCAACGGAGTTCAACTGAGCGTCAACGAATGTCATGCTTTTAGCCCAACTTTCGCCTTTTCAGGTCACGTTTTGTACTATATGATGCAGGAATTTGGGCAGTGCTACGAGTTATAACGGAAATGAAACTGGGGGACGAATAACTTGAAAGTATGGTCATGACCGAGTATGTGAATGCAAGTAAACAATATAAGATGTTGGGTTGTGACAATGATGTAGCTGGTCACCTCGTACGGCTGGTGCTTGTGTGCAGACCCTTCGCCGTCAGTGCCAGCATTCCCACTCGTGTATAAAACTAACTGGAAGAGCGAACGGCCCTTATCTCCAAC